ACTTTAGGTTCTTACTTACATGACGCCTGCAGCAAGAGACACTTAAGAACGTTTTTGGAGCTATATACGACAAATGATGGGCTGCAACACAAACCCAAATGTGCATCAGTTCGCCTCAGGACTAAAACACCTCTGGATAAAGAAACTGTTCAAACTGTCGGACAATGAAAACGTAGAGGATGACAAGGCTGACCGCCTAAAAAAGTTGCAAATATCTTCGCACCATGAAAGTTTAATTTCAGACATTGTGGAATATCGTCCAATTGATAACTTCCCGCCACTAGAGGATATTTCTGAGCTGGCATCAGACATCAGGTCTAACATAATTGATGACTCGTCCACTTTTTTATTACGTTTGGGGCTATTTGATCAAGCTTTTGCTTGAACAGACAACTTACAGCTCTGGCTGTTCTCAGCTGGTATCGGAGTAGTGTAATAACTTGACCGGGCCTCACCAGTATTGTTTTGTTCCTAAAGCATACCACGTGCCTGGAAAATTCTTCGGGAACTTAGTAGTACCATCACAGGCTGCCTTTCATTTCATTCAGCAACTAGAAAATCACTTTCTTCCCATAATAGAGAGTGTGACACATGTTCGAGGAGTGTGTGCCGCCTTGTATAGCACACTTCGAGGTCTGGGTGTTTTTAGCCTTTGCCCAGAGGAGTATCACAAAGGGTTTTTAAAATTGTTTTGCAGAATACGCTTGTGCTGACATGTTTGATTTCTTAACCGGAATTTGGACAAAGTTCGGTTGCACTCTTCAGTGGGTAGTAAGAACGAGACAGGTTTAACTGTTAACAGTGTATTAACAGAGGCGGTTGACAAACCAAAAACAAAAAAGTGCTTATTAAGTGGGCGGTGCAGCTTGCTCTCCAAATATTTATTTCCCCTTTTTCCAGCGAATGTGTATCACGGCTCCCTAACAAAAATATTTGTCCACCTTCTACAAAATTTTGATAGAAAATAGTGTATAGAGGCTAAAAATATTTGAAAGAAAATGTATCTACTTTTGTATCCACTGTCCATAGTTTTTTAGCCGCTTTTTTTTTTGAAGCCATATTTCTTTTCTGAACGATTTCGGGGAATGTTTAGGGACGTTGAATCTTGTCAGATTTCGAATAGAGTTCTCATTGTTTGGTAATGGCTCGCCCACAGTGAGTTTGAGGCTATGCAAATTGGTGTTTTTTTATATTTGCCGGAAATCGGGAATTAGTACTATCCGGCGTGTGCTTCGCACTGTTATCATACTCTTATGACTGGTACTGATAGCGATGTCTTATTTATTTTTGCACTTACTTCCCGTACCCAAGTCGGCGTGAAAGTGAATGTATCATACAGCATGTTCTCCGCGGAAAGGTTTTGTTAACTTGGTTCCGCTAAGAATCTATTACGAAGCGTACGATATGCCGAAGTCCTTCATATTCATTTATTTTTGTGAGTATCGATCTCTTTTCGTATCAAACACACAGAGCTTCTGAAGTAAATCATGTATACATGAATGTGGTCCAATAAAATGTGTTCGAACCACTTACTGTTGTTGACCCCAAAATGCTCCACCAGCCAGGAGTCAATGGGCGCGTTCAGTACTGCCTCCCTTGCCTCCGAACGGAGTGATTCGAGTCGGAGTCATTGGAGCGCCTACTGAACGGCAAAAAAACTAGCGGCTCCAAACCTGCTTCTACGCAACTTCCGCTTCCTCCCCTGTACCAGACGGTCTCCGAATAAACTGGAAGCAGACGATGGCGAGCACGATCGCTTTTATTTGACGATGATATTGAAGACGTCTTTACAAGGTCGTTGAAGAAAAAGCGGGTGATTGTACACATCAGCGCTGCTGTTCGAAGCGATGCAACGCGATCGAGCCCTTCACTTGGCGGTGCAAAGGCAGCTACTGTTATAAAAGCCGACAAAAAACGTCGTCGGCACACGCAAAATACAGAGCTCAGCGAATCTACCCCACCGGTTGCGATACTTTTATACGGCCATAAGTTTGTTCTGCCCTTCGTAACGAACTTCCTATAAAATGTATTCGTATACACACGGGAAGTTCGGCCGCGCTCGGCGATCAAGGTTTTGTCGGCCGAAACGAGCCTCAGCCAACGTGCACCCAGATTTAGCTACGCAGACAAAACATTAATCGGTATCATGCTCTGCGCGAGCGTCTAACCGGCTTCTAAAGTCGCGTTCATACCCTGTTTTGCTCTGTTGAGCGCGGACAGGACTATCGTCAATATTACCGAGTTTCCGTGCAACGGCGATCAAGACACGGCGTCAAATGAACGTTTGCGTCGTTTATTAGCATATTTAAACCAAACAAAATACGGTCCGATGCATCTTCCAAAAGAGCCTTATCTGAAAAAGATATTCGAACGCGTTATTCGTTTTACCTTGAGCACTTTCCATTAACAAAAGCGAGCAAACCGCGCACCCGCGACAGAACCGAAGCAGCTTATCCCGCCATATTGTTTGTTTTTTCCTCTTTTAGCGCCGGAAATCGTCACCAGTCAGGAGATGACGTCATTTTAGCTCCTTTGACTCTACGTGCACCGTCTCCGGACTCGGTGCTTCGGAGCTTGACTCCGAAGCCCCGGAGTTACGTGCACCGGAAGTGACTTTTGGCCGTCCAGTGGAAGGAGTCAGTGACTCCTTGACTCCGGGGCCGCTACTGAACGCGCCCAATGCGGTGATTGTGTAACTTTAGTGCTTTACAATAGAAAAAGAACAAGAAATATATATACTTCTGCTTTGTGAAGTAAGTTCAAATATTGTTTGACACATTTTGCACGGACTCTATCGTAAAAAATAAAACAAAAGTGCGTCAGTATTTAAAAAAAAAAAAAAAAAAAAAAAACTAAAACCAACAGCGGCTTTGGGAGTCAAGGAGCTCCCGAGAGCCGAGCGAGGCGGGGAGGAAAAAGGGAGAGAGAAGTGTACCGGAGAACCCGAGCAGAAACGCCCAAACCGAAACCGAAACTAACTTGACCGGAAACGGAATCAGATTATACTTAATACCGCCCGCTAGGAGCGCTACCTGTCACTGGTCTATCTGGGCCGCTGGGGCCAGTAGTAAGTTTTAGTGTGTATTTATAAATTTGCCGGCCGAAAAGCGAATCCGACTGCTATAACTATGACGCGGTCGGTGCCGACGCAGCGTGACTGTATTTGTTTCTTGCGCGCGGACCGAGAAAACGAAATAATGGGAGATAGATGGACAGATCTATCCACAAGTGGTCTAAGTTGTTAAAGCCAAGGTGCCTTTATGTGCACGCTAGTTAGATCAGCCGCGACCTGCTGCGTCCGGCCGATCGTGCTGGAGCAGCCGGCGGACGGTACGCGAACAGCAACGGCACCGCATCGTTCTTCAAAGACGCCTGTTTCGTGGTGAAACCCGCAACAGTCAGCAGCCGCAGATACCGTGTGTAGGTGTCTGACGTAAAGTGCTGGGAGCAGAGCTTCGCGTTGGAGCTCGGAGTCAACGGTCTTCCGAAGTCTATCCGGCGAACGGCACCGACCCACACCTTGTGCCTCCTCCGGTCTCTTGGGAACTGGTGGAACCGCAGCTCCGGGTTGCGCACTCGGTTGTTGGTGCAACCCACAGCACTACAAATCCTGCTCGACATTGCCCAACGCGAGACCGGCGAATCTCTCCGGCTCCTCGACGCGCGCGTGAGCGAGCAGCACCGCTTTGCTCTCTTCCGCGCTGTCGCGAAAGCAATGCTGGAATTAAAGCAACTGCCTGGACGCTAATAAAAATAGGAGAACACAGGATAACGTGGTAAGCACCTTTTGCCGTCAGCAGAATCGCAGAATGCCACGGGAAACGAAGCGTTCGCGGCGTCCGTACGAGAGCGTAGGACTAGACCTACGTCATTGCCCAGTGTTGCTTCACTAGCTGATCACCCGGTGCCAGCGTTGCTCACCCGCTTTCGGGCCGCTAACCGAGCCGGGAGAACATTTCTAATATTGGTATTAATCGGTAACGCGGCGTCGGTTTGACGTGATATTTTGGGTATGACCGTATTTTGACCTCCTAAAGCGATATCAGTCATTTCGATAGGGTCGACTTTTTGAGTGGAGTTGCCCTTTAAGGCGGCGACGAGTGCTACGACGCATGGTATTGGAAAACTGACTGGTGCTGGAAGGTGCAACACATCTCACCAAGTGCTGGCCGCAGTTTTTGAGAAACATACTTTGGCTCGTTTCATTCGTTAAATGTGCACTCCTGCTAAACCTTCCCAAGGGGGATCGGTGGTCAAGTGGGCTAGCGCACAGCAACTCCGAGCACGTGGAGCGAAAGCTCGCGCTGCAGAACCCAGCATCCCGGGTTCAATCCCTGCCCCTGCCGGTTCCCATCTGGATGAGCATCGTACCGGGTACGGTCGTGTATCACTACTGCAGAGTGCACGTTAAAGACCCCAAGCTAGCGGTTGTACTGCATTGGCTAAATTGCTCATCTTCAGCTGGGAGACTCGTCGCCCGTTGAGGCAGACAAAGTTCTAGGCTAAATAAGCATACACACCCAACCAAATTTCTTTCAAACCTTCCTTCTTTCAGGCATCAAGAATTTCAAATTGCATCCTTCCGTTTTATCCAACCCAAGGGCTAAACAAAAATCGACAGCAAACTACACAAATAATGGTACGTATATACTACTTATTTTTTCCTAAAAAAACCATGGTAAAAAAGACCAGCACCTTGCAGGGCATCACTAATTTGCCCCTTTGCACGTAAAAAAAATATATATGTAGGTGCATTTCAGATTGAAGTATATATATATTATCTTACCAACATGTACTCCTTTCAAATGCCAAAAGCATCGCTTGTTTCTCTGACAACCAAGTCTTGTAAGAACCACTTCGCGCGGCATGTGAACAATGCACAAAACTCACTTTCTTTTTGAGGTGAAAACGAGTATAGTAGAAAATCCTCAGACTAATGGGGTTCAATGCCAAGCAAAGGTAGCAACAGCTTTTATTGGGAAACAAAAATACACAGGACGGACTGAAAAACAGTATATTTATTCAATCATCCCTATTACACATATGTACAACATTCCTAAGTTTTTGTGGGGTCTCATCAATATTTCAGTTATCAAAGGGAATGCAATTGGGAAGGTGGGGCATTTATGTGTAATCATGGCGACGGTTCCTACAGTTCACTAGTGATCTGTGATTTCGACCAATTCTATGCTTACACACGGCATCATCATGAACAAGCATTGTGTAGATTCCAGAGATCTGCCATATCACTGTCAATGTCAGCGTTGTTGATATAGTGCAGGCAATCCACCCTTCAACCTGGCTGAGCTCAATGTTGTCGAATCATGGGAAATTTCCATCCTTGTGTGGAAAGCCTAACGCCAAGGGGTAAAATAATTTGAACGCATGTAAAACATGACGTTTAAAAATAAGAAATCTCTTATTTTACATGTGTTCGAGTTTAGTATCCCCTCGCCCCCTAGAGCTATGTTTGTGAGAAATTTTCCACGATTCAGCAACGAAGGCTAAGCTGCACAAATCTCTTACATTATCATCATTCTTGTACAGCTTCAAAGATGCTGATATTTACTAGATACGCTAAAAATGCTATAAACAGCCCCGCTGACTCGGAACTAAATCTTGGTGGCGGTTATTGTGAATTTTCTGCCTTTTTAGGCAATTCCTGCTAAAGGGAAAGAATCACGAGAATGATAATACTGCAAGAGATTTCTGCAACTCGGACAGGTAAAAGGGTGCATTGCATGCAGAGTGAAAAACGCGTACATTGGCGAGAAATTTTAAAAATGGCAAGACAGGTCTCTGCAATCTACACGGCGCATATTAGGATGACTTTGGATTACAGTTAAAAGTGTGTAAGCCTCGAATTGGTCGAAACTATCAATCACTAGGGAACTGAAGGAAAACCGGTCCCATGATTCCTCGAGAGTGCACCGGGCCGCTTGGTGTATTGCTTTTTGCCCATGTGAGTAGTCTGTAACAAACACGGGTCCAGTTTCTGTATGAATGTTTCCCTACAGCTTTCGCATTTTTAGGCATTTTCACATTTAGAGTCTTGTGAAGACCGATGCTCAATTTCAAAGAAAACACTTTTGGGCATTTGAAGTATAAAAATGACTTAAGGCAAATATCAGTAGTGGTGGTATCTTGAAGCTCAATATCTGTGACCTCATTGGAGGTTGCAGTACGTTCAAATAGATAATGGTGTCATTCGCATGTTTCACATTGACCGGTCATTATGCTGTTCTTAACTGTTTCATGGTAATTTCAGCTAGTTTTCTTAGATGTCTCATCAACGTAAAGCTTTTATGGGCAGTCAACTGGCCCCGGGGGTCTTTCCCACCTGCGAGTCATTTCATGATCAGACAGGTGCCTCTTTGTTTGAAAACTTTGAGCAGGGCACTTGGGGCATTTCAAGGCTTCCTTTGGGTGAGTTTCCTTTTCATGATTTGTCAATCGCCACTTCACTTTAAAGGCTCTAGGGCAGGTGGGGCACTGAAAGCAATTTTCGTTTGTGTGAACTTTTTGATGAACAGCCAAGTTACTTTTTGTTCGAAAGCTGTTATGGCAGACGGCACATTTAAAGGGCCTTTCACCCGTGTGGACCCTTTCATGATTTGTCAAGCAACTCAGCTTTCGAAACTTTTTAGGGCAGGTGGGGCATGTGAAGGGCCTTTCGGTCGAGTGTGTCTTTTCGTGACTTGACAATCGCCACTTAGTTGCAAAGGCTTTAGGGCAGTTGGGGCATTTAAAGCAATTTTTATCTGTGTGTGTCCTTTCATGTTCATCCAGATTGCATTTTCTTCTGAACTTTTTAGGGCAGGCAGAGCATTTAAAGGGCCTTTCTTCCACGTGAGACACTGCATGAACTTTCAATTTCCACTTTGTAAAAAACGCTTTAGGGCAAGTGGGGCATTTAAAGCGCCTTTCACTCATTTTGACACTCGCAAGAGTAGTCGAGAAACACTTTGTTCCAAATTTTTTATGTTCACCCGTGTGAATCCTTTGGTGAAGACACAGGTCACTTTCCTGCAGAAATACTTGCGGGCAAGCGGAGCATCTGAAGTGTGCCCTGCTCCTGTGACAGTGCGCGTGAATGTTTAAACCGCGCTCGCTGATGAACTCCTTTTGGCAGACGTTGCAACTGAAAGGCTGCTCTCCCAGGTGTGTCTTTTCGTGCTGGGTGATGCAGATTTTCGAGACACTGGATAAAGGGCAGAAGCGGCACTTATGCCTGGACTTCTCTCGTATATTGCGCCGTATCTGGTTGAATTGTTCTTCAGAAGAGGACGAGTTGCTGCTCTCCTCACTGCATGAGCTATCCCAGTCTGCATTGGCCAACTCTGTTAGGAAGACACAGAAAGTAACATTCGTTTTCCCACAATAAACAAGGCATAGGAAAGAAGTCATATTCCTTATAGGTTATTAATCAATTGTAATGAAATAGGCATAGAAAAAAAGTCATATTCCTAACAGGGGAAACAGTTACAAGGATGTCCAGTCGACAGCGCTAATATGGGACTGCGGGTGTACAGTATTTAGCAAACATTTGAGATGAATCTTGGGATAAAAGTCTCCAAATATCTCACCAAAATGTTGAAGGTATGATGTTTAGCATTTTTTTTATATCTGGCCTCGAACAAAACAAATAGACCTGTATTATATATTAATATATGAAGAAAAAAAAACTGTGCAAGCGCTTTCACCCTTACCTGTTTATAACAACCAACAGAACTAGGTGTAAACATCAAGCAACGGAAATAGTATTTCATCTTGCTCTATTTTTTAAAAACATCTTAGAGCAGCTTTGCTCCTTACGGAAATCATGCTGTTTAGGTAAATTAAAATACCGTGTTTGCACAATTGTAGCGCACACTTTTTTTCCGCTAAAATCGGTGCCCAAAAATACATGCACGTTACAATCAAAACCAAAAGCCAAAACTCAAAAAGAAAAATGCAATACCCGCTACAAGGTGGCTAACCCCATTGCCACCGTGATTGTTTATTTACATTCACCATTTTGGTATCCGTATCATGCTCATTCTGTCATGTCTAGGACTCATGTCTGCCGTCTTAAGATGGAAAAAGAAAAAACAAGTAGACTAGGAGGCATTATTTAAACGAAACGCCATCACGCTGGTGGGAAAAGATAACGGAGCAGCACTGCATGGCCTTGCAATCCCAGCTACCCGACGAGCTTGCAAGGTTGTTGTGAAGACAACCTTCCCAGGGACGACGGTCACGCACTCGTACAAGGGCAAGAAGCGCGGAACCTAAAATGCTTTAGACGACAGCAAGAATTACCTATGTGGACAGCGAAAAACCATCGTCGAGCCCCGACAACAGTGACTAGTGCATGGTATTTATTTTTGCGTTGGCGTGCATTTCATAAAATTTATTCTATGAAGTATGTGTTCAACCTCCCTCTTTTTACCTGCATGGTACAATCGGCATCAAGTTATTTTCAGAATATTTGAGTTCTAAATATACCTCCGCGTTACAATCGGGGGCACGATAGAATCGTGCAAACACGGTGCCTACCCCGAGACCCGAGGCGTGTTTGATCTGAAATAAAACCACTCATGTAATACCGGGGAAAAATTAAATGCGGACAGAGGAGCACGTGGCTTGCGGTACAAACTGTGCCGCCTGGAAGTAAGCCCAGAATGAGGGTGCATGGCTTACTCCAATGTGTGTATGCCCTTTGCTCGGCGCTCCCCAACCTTCGGCATTCCACCTTTTAGTACGCTGAAAGCTATCACCCCTATCTTTGCTCGCTCGGCGCGTGCGGCGCGACGACGCCCGCCTTTAAAGCCCGCGCTCCTTTTTTTTTTTTTTTGCGGAGGGGGGGTTAGCTTAGCGCGTGCTTTAGCTGCTACTAGTGGCGAGCTTCTTCGCGCCGCACGCGCCAAGTGAGGAAGAAGCAACAGTTGTAAAAAGTGAAATTTCGCTATTGGGCTGTTGGCATATCAAAAAATATTTGCTTTACCCTCAGGACTCTAATATCTCACAAAAACGTTTTGAAGGAAAATATCAGGTTTTAATTGTCACAGGCAAACAAGGAATTTTTGAATTGTGATTTTCTTCAACAACTTCAATGTTTAAGAAAACTCGCATATTAAACATAACATACCCCAGGTGCGTGAAACCGACTTTATTTGTATTAAATTGAAACTAACTCGTACTCTTGCAAGGGGCCAAGAAATAAGTAATTATTAAGAAACAATGTTACAACCTAGCTTTGCACCTTGAAATACAGCTTCAAATATATAGCTTTTTAAGTACAAACTATACATGACATTTCATTTTTATCGTATATTTGAGACCGCACCAAACCCTCTTTATACAAGAAAAGAAATAAAATTAAAGTTGTTGCAAGTTGATGTTGATATTTGTGCTTTACTTCAAAATTGTTTTTGGCTTAGATAACTTTAACTGACAATAATAATATTGTACTTGTTGAACAGACATATTTCCTTTGTCCTATAATTTATGCCATAATGTTGACCGTAACAAGTTATCAGTATCCAAACTAAATGAATTACCGTCGAAGAGAATAGGTCCAGAATTCTTTTTCGAATCATGATTAAAAATAAAAACACATTTTTTTGGCCATTTGAGGAATTTTGAAAACCAATGTACAAGGCTTCCTGGTTGTGCAAAAATCTATCCGAGCTTAAGAAACACCAGAATGCACGATCTATGATGATCACTGAAATCCTAAAATTCGTCTTTGGTTATCTCAGAGTAAAAAACTTGATAACTAAAAATTTGTAGCAGAAGCGGTTTTCAGTTCTTTTTAGCATATACAGAAAGTTCAACTTTAAATCAGACAGATTTTTTTTAAAAAATAGGGGGTGAGAGTTAAAACAAGTTCTGTCTTTGCTGTGTATTCGTCAGGATCGACAGACGTTAGATGAGGGGATAATCACCCTGGTAAGTTCAGTAATTAGCTAAAATCTCTAACCTTTTAATTATTTTTTTTTAAAGTCATGTTAGAATTGCAGTATTGATGGCAATTACTGTTAGAGCCCAGACCAGTTTACAGAGTTTAAGGTGATGGTTTTTAAGATATTAAGAAATGTTCACATTTCTTTTCTCGATTCAAAAATTGTGCTAAAAAAGAGCGCCGCGAGCCTTGCCTATAATCACGCTTTGGGGAGTGATGACATTGTTTCAATCGTGTCGTCACTACCTTGGCAGCATGTCCTTGGTGGGTGCGCCGACAACACAAGTGATGACGTAACCTAAACTACTATGTCACTCTTCTAAGCATCATTGTGGGCAGGGCTTGATGAACTCTTTTTGAGCGCAAAATCTTCGGTCCACTGATACTGTAGAAACGTTTTACCGTAAAATACTGGGCAAATGTCCACTCAAAATTTAGAGATAATCGCAAAAAACTGGGGGATGGGCGCTTGTTTGGTCATTAATTTTACATATAAATGTACTCTGCATATTTTACCGTATCTTAGAAATTTGGATATGGGCACTTAATCTGAGATGGGCGGATGCGCGGTATTATTTTCGGTCCACTGATACTGTAGAAAAGGTAAGGTTCGAGCAGTTTGAACACATTTTTCCCAATTCCACATTTTGGCGTAATTTTCACCTTAATTAAACTGTCGTTCCAGTATGAAACAATCGAGAACTTAATATTTGCGGCTTATATGCCGAAATTTTATGGAACCGGGTACTATGAACTTAGATTTTGCATTTTCATGTGCCTTTATAATCAAAATTTTTCAAATGCAAAACTTGGTAAATATAAAAAGAATAATCTTAAATTGTTTATTTAGGAAATTCATATTTTTAAAATTTTCTTTTTATAGTAACTGGCGACAGGTAGCCCAGTATGCATTTCACCAGGAAAATATGTGGTTATCAACACCATTTCTCAACGATAGATTCATTGAGCAGATTCCATGCAGAGCTATGCGTTACTTTTTTCTGGGGGTATGCTACCTCATGAAATTGGTTCAGGGGGCGGAAGCTTTCCATGCCGTTCTTCTGTACGGCTAGAAGCACACCTGCAAATATCACGCCAATTGAGGGAGCGGTTCAAAAGTTGACATTCCCAGGTAATGTCCCCCTTTAATATCTTTCAAACCATTACCTTTCACAAATTCTTTAAGTTGGCCTGGCGCCTAGAGTACTTGCCGTCAACACTGAAATTTAAACATTGCACCTAAAACCAATAATTAGGAACCTTGTCAAAACTGCAGCTTGAGGGAGGTGGTTGAACATGTTACCCACTTAAGAGCGCACAATTAGCATGCACACAAAACACAACATATATACCGCACTTAACTCGCAACTCAATTTTGTATTTCAGCTTTGTTTTCGTCCATGTCTGTTAAACCAATACACAAAATTGTGTGCAGTGAAGTCGGTTACAAAAGTAAGGAAGTTATTTAAGAGATTTGAGTTAATTAGTCAACTTATGACGATTATCCACTCATCTCCTATTTTTATGAAATCTGCTCGAATTAAAATCAAACACCCTGCATATATTTTTCTAATTGTTTTCAATAGTCACCCCTTTTTCCTGTATGATGCAGAATAAAATCGCCCAGACATGACTACTCACAACCAAAGGTTTGGGTTTGGTTTAAAGGTTAAAACCAATACTAGGAACAAGTAGTCTGAATGACACTGACAGTTTCTTCTCGAAGGCGCCTCGTCCTATCACTATCTCGTTGTTGTCGATGGAAAGCCCCATCCCCGTCGTTCTCTGCTTCTTTTTGGGGTCCACATTCTTTCGTTTGTTCCAAGAGCAACATGTCTGAATCAAAGACTCGCTGAGATCTATCCTCCAAAAAATTTTCCCCAGCAGGTTCTGCCACCCTAAGCAGCTGTGAGGTGTCCCCGAAAAAAACTTACGATAATGTTTTATTAATTGCAAAACTAAAATATGCATCGTCGATTGCTCTGCTTGAGCCCTAAACTAGTGCTAGCAGTTCAAACCCAATGCCAAAGTTTCATATTGAACCATCATCTTGTTCAAAAGTTAAAAGCGATTTTCAAAAAAAATTTATGTTAAAATGGTGATTGACAAAGCCACAAATACACGGGCTGAATGGTGCAAACTACCGAAAAGCATTCTCGCAATTGAAAGTATAAAAAAATTGCTTGCATCCTTCAACTAAAACAGCGTTTAAGGTGCATTTTTAGAAACAATCGAAAAGGAAATCTTGGATTTCCATTGGCTTTTCACTTTTGCTATGCCCTCGAGTGCGGTAAATTTATGTGGCCTCGGCTCGCATTATAATAGTAATATCTTTTTTTTTTCTTTTTGAGGACACTAAAACTTACCCCCGTGTTATATTTGTGGTCGCGTTATACTCGTGCAAATTCGGTATATATCAGAGGTGGCCAAGCTGCAGCTCGCGAGCCGCATGCGGCTCTTCGCATGTTAAAGTATGGCTCGTGGCTCCCTCCCCCCCCTCCCTCCCTTCTAGGCCACACGAACACTACCCCAAAAAGAGATATGGAACGCATTTTAAATTGAAAGACAGGTTGCGGTTTGATAGTCTTGTGCTACTGCTACCTTATGTACAGTCGGACAGCTTTTGACTCGGATAGATTGAAAGTAGTTCAAGTTTCGTTTCTTGCTCTGAACAAAAGTTTGCCCCCCCTTCCCCCGCAGCTCTTAGAAGTTTCGCTGTTTTGTTTGCGGCTCTTAGGCCGGGTGCCCCCCATGGTATACATAATCATTGCTGTCGTCCATTCTCCAAAGACGGTTGTCTCTGAGTGCATATGCAATCACGAAGGCAAGCCAACACCAATCGTGTGAAGCAGACGAATAAAAAATTATTGCGTTTCATCGACAAACACGAGGTACCTCGAGACAACGCCGTTGTCCAAAGGCCCGCCGTGGCCGCCTCGTTTCTTTCGATGGTGACGGCAATTAAAACACAATTTTTTTTTCTCTGTGCGATCGCACCTTTACATTTTAAACTTTGCCATTCGGTCTGGACTGCTAGTGTTGCAACGGGGCAGGGATTGAGCATTCGGCGATACACACTCTATTTTTTGGGCAAAAACAAAACAACACCGTTTTTTTTCTGGGGGGGGGGACATACTCTGGCCTTGGTAAGTCTGCCCATTCAAACACCACAAGAGTTGCATTATAAGTACAGTGTCCGGAACATGTCTCCGACCGGTGCATGGAGTAGAAAGGTTCCTGAGGCGAGGCGACGCAACGCCGCCAGAGGTGAAGCCGGGGGAGACCTCCGGTTCAGAAGGACGAGTTCCCCGAAAACCACCAAAAACGAACGAGACCAAAAGACGCCTTTATGAACGGAGATAGGATCGCGACGTGTGACGGCATGACACTCCGGCTTCTGTGACGTCATTCACTGTCGCTTCGGGATCACTTTCCACGCATGGGCGGAACCGGACGCTAGACATACTGGTCGGACAGACACGTTTCGGGCACTGTACTAGACGGGACTGGGCTTCGTTCAGCTTCGAGCCATGGGAGACCGTCGAACAAGACCTACGAGGCCCCCGGAGAGGGGCCGCGAGAACAACTTGCCTTCCTTCACGACGGGAGTGGCAGTCTGGACTTCTTTCTTGGGCTGATGGGAAACAAAGAGGCTGACGGCGTCCCCGCCGTCCGGGCCCTCGGCGGTCGAACCGGCAGGCTCTTCATCCGCTTCTGTCGAAACAAATGCGCAAGAAATACGTCCATGAAACGGGCAAGGCTATCCGAAACATGAAACGCAGAAGCTAAGCCATCATATCCACAAGCTCGTTTGCTTCTAATTTTATTGCTTCGAGCTGTCTCGTAGCAGGAAGACGTCCCTTTTGAACCTTTTCTGTTATAGGACGACCTCCCCTCACGTATTGTATTCTGGGCAAATCCAACCCCCTTTCACAACGCCCTCTGTTCTCACTTCCGTTAA